GTTTGTTTGCATTCATCAAGTCTTGAATGACGTCCTTCAAATTCCAACATTCCTCCGTATTGTGGCCCCTTCCTTGATGGTACTTGCAATGGGCATTAGGATTCCATTTGGCGCTCCTTTCTTCAGGTTTTGGCTCTGGAAGTGGTCCAATAGGTGTGATCAAGCCTTGACCGTAAAGGCGATCAAAGGCCGCATCATAAGTCATTCCTAAAGGAGTGTAAGTTCTTTTCTTCTTGGGAAATGGAGCATCAAGAGCTAACACTTCATTGATATCAACTTGGCTTATATTGTTGGTAGTATTTTTGTGCTTAGAAGACGAAGAAGAAGGATGATCATTCTTCTTGTTTTTCCAAGTGTTATTATTGTTACTACCAGCAGTCTTTATTATCTCATCCTCGATATTGATGTCGATGTCGTATACAGCTTCGAAAGTGTTCAGTGGAAGAAATTTGAGATGTTCCCTATATTTATGAGTCAGATTTTGAATAAAGAGGCGAACCATATCTCTTTCTTTGGGAGGATCTACCAAGAGTGAAGTTGTTTCCCTCCACCTGTTCAGGTAAGCGGTGAAGCCTTCATTCTCTTTCTATTTGAGAATGGAGAGTTCACGTTCAGAAGTTTTGGTTTGAATGTTACACTTGTAACGATTCATGAAACTGTCAGTGATATTTTGCCAAGTCGCAGTATGCTTGGCATCTAAGGAATAAAACCATTGTTGGAAAGCATGTTCTAAGGAGAGAGGGAACACCGTAGGGAAGAGTTTTACGTCCAATCCCTTAAGAGCCATGGTTGCAGAGAACGCCTTCAAATGGAATATTGGATTGTCAGTAGGCTTGAACTTTTGAATATCAGCAGGGGAGAACTTTTCAGGGAGTCTGTCCTTCACATCCAAAGGAGTGGGAGGTCGTTCCACATAAGTGAAATCCTCAGAAATCTTACTCATTTGTTCCTTCAGTTTGTCAAGGGTGGAAGTAGTGACCTTGTTTTGTTCCATGGTAGTGACCGTAGTGGTAAGGGTTTGCATCATGGAAGATAGTGCCTCGATGGATTTGTTGATGTTCTCAATGTCTTCTTTAGTGGCCATTGAAAGGTGATAAGTAATGTGGAGATGGAAAAGTTCTCTTTGAACGCCTATTAGATCTGATAGACTGTTGCGATAACGACTCGAACCGTATTAATCTATCCCTGTTCCTTGACCAAGTACTGTGAAATAAAATAATTCACTTAAATGTTTAACTCATTGCTCAAGATAGGAAAGGAAGGGAAAAAAAAATAGACATTTGAAAACAGGTGAGAAAACTCCACCCATTTTTTATTATGACAAAAAAGGGTGCATGAACCTAGTATACGATCATAAACGACCTGGTGCACGACTCGAGTCGGAACATAAAGAAAGTGTGTGGACTATACTTGACTCGTGAGTGACTAAGTGATGTTATAAGACTCGTGGTATGATCGTATGGCTAGACATGTGAACAATAACCAAAATGACTGATGCGAGGACCAAATTAACACGAAAGACTTGACTGACGAGTTTTTAATTTTTAATTTTTAATTTTATTTTATTTTTTTATTTTTTTTTTGAAAATCCACCGTGTCACGGTGGAAATTCCCGTGACACGGTGAACTTTCCCGTGCCACGGTGGATGCTGACATGGCACGGGATATTTTTTTTTTTTGGAAATCCACCGTGTCACGGTGGAAATTTGCCGTGACACGGTAGAGTTTCCCGTGGCGCGGCAAACTTTTTTTTTTTTTTGCTGCAGGTCCACCGCGCCACGGTGGACTGTGCCGTGACACGGTGGACAGTCCCGTGTCGCAGCAAAACTTCCCCCTTTTTGTTTTTTTTTTTTTTTGCTAATTACTAAGTGAGTACAATCGTTAGTCATAAAATAATCCACCATAGACAAAGAAAGATCGTTAAGGTTAGGATCAAAACGACCAAACATAAAACATGTAGGCACAATGATGCAAAGAATAGTTCGCAACCTAAGGTCAAGTTCTATGTTCGACTATGGTCAAGTTTATTTGGTGTCAATAGGGTACCATGGTTAAGAGTTTGGACGCGTTAGCAAGGCAGCCTCCCTTGAGGGTGTATGCCAACGGGCGGCTCCGCGAGTTCGTGATGAAATCGAACTCGACTCCATGGTTTGGGTGGATTTAATAACTCGGATGAACTCTTATAGCCATGAGCGTTTTTGGGTTGAGAGCTTAAATCCCCCAAGGCTAAGACGTATGTAGAACACATACTTTTTTCTGAAAAATCAAAGGAAGTTAACTGTGAGAAGAGAAAATAAGCCACCGGACTAATTTTAGGACTGCCGTGACACGACAAAGATTCCCGTGCCACGGTACGGCACACCGTCAGACGGTGCACTGTACCGTGACACGGCAGATTTTACCGTGGCACGACAATTAGAAAATCTGACTGGTGCCCTGTTTTCCTTCGTACGCAATCAGGTTATTCAATTTTTCCTATGGGACAGACCTAAATGCGACGTTAAAACGTCTATGCATATGAAAAAATGCCAAATTAATCACAGGAATATTTTTCAAGAATCTTTCAAGTCTCATCCACTCATCTTAATTAAATATCGATCACTCAAATCGATAAATAACCAAGAATCCTCCCCAATGGAGACGCCAAATTGTAGGCGTCGTTCGAAGCGCGCCTCCATTAAAAGCATGTGGTGAATACGCTTGGCACTCTTAGGAAGTAGGAATTGACATATACGATTAGGGACAAGGAAAGTAGGGAGCCGCCAACAAGTTTTTAAGGAACTTGTAAACCGTTCACGGATCATTTAAGGCAACCACGAATAAAGGGACAACGATAGGCAACAACGATTGACCCGTGAAGGTTACACCCCATTCATAATCCATGAGATTACTAACTCCATATGGTTTGGAACCACGAAAAGAGGATCGGGGATGATGGTACGAAGTGAGTCATGGAGTCACATTCGCCCGTATTTGGCCTCTACTCGATTCTTATAGTGAAAAGTGATTCCTGTGATCTCAAAGGCATACAAACAAAGATTCAATTTGCTCCAAACTATTATTAAGCTAAATTGGTTGAATATTAATGCAACATATAATTCTAAAATATTAGTGATCACTTGAATTAATAACAAGATTAAAAAGGATCCTAAACCGGTTGTCCAAATTATCTTATTAGGCATGATTTTTAATTACATATTCCCTTTAACATGCAATATTGTGATCAAAAAAATAATAGAATAAACATTAATATTGGAAGCAATTTAACAATAAATTGTTAGTCAAATCAAATATAAAACAACCTAATCATGATACTAGCAATATAAATTAAAATAAGAGTAATTAATTTAATTAATTACTTACATTCAGTACGTTCCTTTAAATTGCTACATCATGAATAAACTTTTAGTAACTCAAATAAAAAATTTAAAGTAAATGAAAATTAAATTAAATAAAAAGTAGAGTTGATTTGGTCCAAACCCTCAATTATTTGTACATTTTACGCCTTGGTTTAAGGACGGAACCTCGGGTTAAGTATAGACTCCTTGGAGTGCTTAGGGGAATTGTTATGAAAGAATAAGGAGGCTAGAAATTAGGTTAAAGAGGGAGAAGAGGGGGTCCTATTTATAGGGAAAATGAGCAGAGGGAACACGCGGAACCCTAAAAAGATAAAAACCCTACAAAATAATACCGTGTCACGGCAAAGAGCACCGTGACACGGTGACAGGCACCGTCAGATGGGGAAAGATCCCGTGACACGGGGAAAAACTTAGTGACGCCAGAAATAATTAGGTCACGGGAAGTTAAAACGCGTTTAGGGATTACGCAGAGAAAACACAGAGAAATCCTGTGGCACGGGATGTGCACCGTGACACGGGAAGAAATGTCGTGACACGACATTGTACACCGTGGCACAGTGCAGTATGCCGTGTCACGGTGTAAAAAGTACGCGGAAATTACACGGAATATCCCCGTGTCACGGAATGGGCACCATGACACGGGAAATTGCACCATGACACGGTGCAAAATCCCATGACACGGGAGAAAATTTTGCAGAATTACAAAAATGGGCACCGTGTCACGGGAATAAGCCCCGTGACACGTTAGCTTTTGCCGCGTCACGGCATTTTTGCTGCTGCGCGGTAATTTCAGTTTTTACCCATTTTTAAAATAATCATAACTTTTGATCCGTAACTCGGAATAAGGCATATAATATATCATTGGAAAGCTTATCAAGTCTACTTTCCAACCCAATTAGAATCAAGTCAAAATAATATATAGATTTAATGATATGGTCGATTTAGTGGAAGGGTGTCGGTTTTAGGCCGAGTTTAGTGTTTTGCTCATATCTTTTTTCGTTATAGCTCGGAATTGGGCTTATGATAAATGGTTGGAAAGCTTATTTAAAGGCCTATCCAAAAAAATAATAATTGGATCAAAATTGTATAGCCATAAAATCAGTTTCTCTCAGTTTTGCGATGTGGACACGAAAAGTGGAAAATAGGTTATGGTATAGGGAAATGAGCTAGAAATTGGATTAGATCATGAAATATATTGCATAGAACATGAATTTAAGCTCCAAATATTGAATATCAACTCGAGCAATAATGGCGGTGAAAGGTGTTCATCAACGAGTTTGGTTTTTGGGAGACATTTTTAGGTGTCTACATGCCGTTACGGATAGGCTATGTTATTCGTAACGGGCAGTGCCCGTTACAAATAACATGTTATTCGTAACGGGCAATTTGACTGCCCGTTACAAATAACCCGTTATTTGTAACGGACAGTTTGACTGCCCGTTACGAATAACCCGTTATTTGTAAAGGGCAACCAAACTACCCATCACAAATACAATTGAATCCAAATTTTAAAAAAAAATGCAGCAGGTGATACCTGCTACACTGCTAACCTGATAACCTTTCGTGATGCCAAATTTTAATTACTGTTATCAATATTCAATAATAATAAATGTATAATTTAATTAATTATAAAATCAAAGATACAACTTTAATAAATGTCCAAATTGTCTTTACAACAACTCCCTAACATGAGTCAAAAGCTACTACATAAATAATATTCCTTAATAAAACATGAAAATTTATAGTTATAGAGAGTGAATCTTAGACAAATCACTTGCACACTGAGCAAAGAGCCATGCACAATCTTCCTTTGACAAATCACTTGCACTCTCAAACAAACTTATGTGTCTTCTCAGCATTGTGACTCTAGTTATAGGGTCCATTGCTAAGACTGCAGATAATGTTATAGCTCCTAATGTCATCTTAAGTGACGCTAAATTAGGAGACGTGTTACTCTTGAGTTTATGGTGAGCAAAAATAATTGATTCTGAGTCGGCAGAAACAACATCACTGATATTCTGAAGGCTTGATAGAGCTGAGCCTACAACCAAGAAAATACAGGTCAAAGGACAATGATTGAACACTAATAGAATTTAATATTTACTAGAAATCAATGGAAAATAAGAAAAATAAAATTACTTACTAGCCTCAACTTCGAAAAATCAGCAATGAACTTATCTACCCATGGCCTCTATGGAACAAGATGTGGAGGGCACTCCTTGATACCAGGAATATCGGGCATGTAAACACTCTAGTCCTTCACTTTGATATCAAGCTTGGCTATCTTAACTTTTGGAATATGCTTAGCTTCCCACCTATGAGAAAACACAATGTAATCTTAGTACAAAAAGGTCAAGTTGTTACTGGTGCCCCCTGAACATACTAAAACATTTACAAGCTTTCTAATCAAGAATTATCATTTTTTTTCTTTTCATCTTGATTGTTAAGAGCTTCTAGGCTGCGGGAGCATAGCAAAGGGAAAATACTTTTCAAAGCTAGATCAAATTAAATGTTATGCTATTTGTCTTTCAAGAGGCATGTATATGTAATATTTCTGACAAGAAAAAAAAAAACGCAGTTATTTTTTGTTTTAGCAGCTTTCTTCTTGCATATGAAATCCAGCAGCCTGATTTGCACAAATAGCACACACCAATTATTTGAAAATTATCCAAAGACAGCATAATTGAATAACACCAACCATACAACAGATGCTGGAGAACTGCTTACAAGCTTTTGGACATTTTCAGTGTTCACTCTTGGGGAAGAATTCCTTGATAAAAGAGCAGTAGCATTGGCAGAGAAGAAGGCCTGAAAAAAGTTATAAAAAATTTAGGGATCAAATATGATATTCACAACCAAAGGAATTATCACAAAACTATATAAAAAGTAAGTGTTAATTAAAAAAAATTAAAAACAAACAAACAAACTAATGGCAAGCAAAATGTAGTAGCATAGGGGTTTACCTTATCCTTCTGACCAGACAATGCCTTGGCCAAATCGTTAAATTCAACAACTTTTTGTGCAGCAAATGCAAGCCATGAGTTGATTTCATCATCAAGCTTAGTCTCGTTAACAAGATCAACAACAGTGTGAAGAAGTGAGCAGGAAGTGGAGACCACAAGCTTGTCTGCAAGCAAAGAACAACCAAGTTAGCCAAACGTCTTTATTAGGCGACATAAATTTATTAGTTTGAGATACAAGTTAAGTCACCCTTAGCAGGCTTGGACAACAACAAGTAGGAGACTGGTCCAACAAAAATCGAGACAATGTCTACTCCACGCTGTATGACAAACAATAAGATAAGTTACTTCGATAATCATGAAATATTTATAAAAAAAAATAAAAAAATAAAATAGGAAATGTATAGGACTTTATAAAGACTACTTAAGAACAGAAGTAGCTCATATCAGCAATACATATCCCCTGACACCCCCTATATAATAATTAAGAGCATAACAATCAAGAATCCCATGGGGACAAGGGTTAGTTATTGATGGACCAGAAACTAACAATAATCTAAGGTAAACAAGTGACAAGAAATCCTCAAGGGAAACCTTAAACCTATTTGTGAAAATTTATTTGTGAAATTACTGTTCCGGGCACATTCGGTGATTTCTCCAAGTTAAATTCGAAAAGAGAAATTATTGTTATGGATCTTATGCTTTCAACAATTATGTCAAAATTTAAACAGAAGCTTATCAACTAGATACTCTGCATATCTTTTCACTCATTATAGCTGGAAGGTAAGTGAACTTGACTTGAGATTTAAATGAGCTTGGACAATCACTGTATAGCTTGGCTCAACTAAGATCATGAACATGCTTGCATTTGTAGATTAAGGAGTTCTAATTATAAACCGCAGTTAATATCACAAAACAACAAAAATATATGAGTTGGTAAACCAAGATAAGCTATCATTAGCTCTAGCTATGCTTTTATCAACTCTAGTTGAGAATATATGAGCATACCCGGCTGCTTCATGGCCGAAAATGCAAGGAAACAATTGTGTAGCAGTACTACTCTGCAGAATATGGAGAATATTTGAAGTTTTCAGCTCTTGAAAAACATAGTTCAGAAACCTCAAGGGATACAAACTAGTATGGAATGAAAACAAAATGGTAGGTGAATAAGATATACCTTAGCTTCCAAAAGTAAAAGTCAGTACGCGCGGCAAAGTGTAGTGTAATTGATCTTAACTCTGACTTCCAAGGTCTGTGGTGGAGCAACCTCTACTTGCTCTATCACCAACGGCTTCCCGGCTTCCCATGCTACAGCAGCTATACAACAAACCAATAATAAATCAACAACGTGAAGATGAGATTTTGTAGTTAACACGACGAGCCTGAGATTCATACCTTTGCAGGGTATCACAAGGCCAGCAGTACTAGACATTGGTAATGTTCAGATCAATTAGATGAGTTCTCACTTCGAAATGACTTTCCAGGCACATTTAGTATCAACCTTAAATTTAGACGATTTTAACAAACCCATGGCCCGTGTAGAATCCTTGGCAGCCCCTCTCGTATGTAATAAATCGAGTACTTCGAAATTAGTAAGAAATCCAGCATTGCAGAGGTTGCGTAAAACAAAACCTAACATGAAGAGGCCATTGCAATATACAAAAATTTCTGAGCGCATGCAACCTTATCAGGTAGAAAACATCAACTAAAAATCACCAACATTCACCAATTGCAGATTAAAACATCAAAGAATGCAGAAAGAAAGAACCTTGCATAGAGAATCAATAACCAATACCCAATTTCTCACTTCAACAAACAGATTAACAAAGATTATACAACAACAACCCATAAATTACCAATAAAAATTAACGAATTGGGGATAAATTGATCGATTTCGGTAAAGAACTCGAAGAACCCTAGAATTAATCAACATGCCATATCAGGATTCTTCATTCTCTCTATAAACAAAAAAAATTACAAAAAAATTCGGCAATCAGGTATTAATCGACAAAGATGAACTAAATTCATTACTGATTGCATGTATTACAAGTTTCAATTGAAGAACATATTTTTTTTAGATTTATTATTCGTTTAGATGTACAAAGGATAATCAAACCATATAAACGCCAAAAATGAATCAAATACAAATTTCGTGTAGAAAAAAATAAAGAAAATTAGAATTCACAAGAACAAATTCAATAATTTAAACAATTAGATGCCTAGAAATAAATTCAAGAAGAGGGAAAAACAATTGAAGAACTTCTTACCTCACGATCTAAAATGCCCAAAAATCAATTCAAGAAGAGGAGAGAGGGCCTGAGTTTGAAATGAGATAAAGAGGTGAATGAGGGGGAGGAGAGGAGAGGAGAGGAGATAGAAAGAGTAAGGGACTGATGAGAGAAAAAGAGGTGAATGACGGCTTTAGGTGAAACCCTAAAAAGCCAAGCACTGGGCTCCTCTCATCAGTTGGGCCAAGTTACGTGTAATATAGTATTCGTAACGGGTAAAATAGTGTCCGTTACGAATACTTATTTATTCATAACAGGCACTAATTTGTCCGTTACAAATACATACATATTCGTAACGGACACTATTTTGCCCGTTACGAATATCTTAATTGTAACGGGCAAAGCTTTGCCCGTTAAAAATAGCATGTTACAAATGAGATTTTTTCCACTAGTGTATGTTAGTGCGTACAACAAGAAAATGGACTTGATTGTGCTTTGTATGTGATGAGATTCATGCTTGAGATAGTGACTCATTGCACGGACAGTCAACATCTTGATGAGGTAAGTCCTAAAACTTGATGAAATGTTATATTGATGTGTTTTCTAGCCTTAGACACCTAATATTACCCAACATTGACATGTTATGAGAAATAAAAAGGTGATTTGACAAGAAAGGTAGAAAATGGGCTGAATAGAAGTCATATGGGTCATATTAAGGTCATTTTGTGTTAATATGCTCTTCTTGATGTGATTTCTTTCCTTATACACCTATAACTAGATAATATTGACATGTTATGAGATAAATAAAGTTTATTTAATAAGAAATGTAGGAAATGGGCAAAGTAAAGTCATATAGGTCATATTTGGGCCATTTTGAGTAAAAAGCTTCTTAAACCTTAATAAAATGTTTTTTTGATTGAATTTTCGGGCTTAGACACATAAAACTAGCTGACATTGACATGTTATGAGATAGAAATAGTTCATTTGATAAGTAATGTAGGAAATGGGCTACATAGAAGTCATATAAACCATATTTGGGCCATTTTGAGTAAAATGTGTTGTTAAACTTAATGAAATGCTATATTGATGTGATTTCTAGCCTTAGACACCTAATATTACCTAACATTGACATGTTATGAAAATTAAAAAGGTCATTTGAGAAGAAAGGTAAAAAAAATAGGCTGAATAGAAGTCATATGGGCCATATTTGGGCCATTTTGTGTTAATATGCTCTTTTGATGTGATTTCTTTCCTTATACACATATAACTAGATAATATTGACATGTTATGAGATAAATAAAGTTCATTTAATAAGAAATGTAGGAAATAGGCAAAGTAAAGTCATATAGGCCATATTTGGGCCATTTTGAGTAAAAAGCGTCTTAAACCTTGATAAAATGTTTTGATTCAATTTTAGGGCTACGATACATAAAACTAGGTGACATTGACATGTTATGAGAAAGAAATAATTCATTTGATAAGAAATGTAGAAAATGGGCTAAATAGAAGTCATATAGGTCATATTTGATAAAATACATATTGTTTTGCCTAATTAATTAATTTTGACATAATTTTTTTTGTATTTTAGGTTTTGCAAGGTCCAAAAGGATGGTCCGTTGACAATCAAGGAACTTAATGAAGTTCGTGGCATGTTGGCGTCTTTTATCACCTTCAACATGTAAATGACATTTGAATTGTAAATTTATGTTAACTTTTGAACTATATTATTATTCATTATTTACTTACGATCGTTTGTATATATATATAACACTTTTTTTTTTATTGTATTACGTTTGGGAATATTTATATCTATATGTATATGAATTCTTGCTTTTAATGTTATTTGTATCTTATTATAATATTTAATTATATTATTATTATTAGCAATTATAATAATAATATTATTAATTATTTTATTTAATATTATTGCTGGAATTACAGGTTATTATTATTGTTGGAAACAGGGTGTTTTTTTTTAAAATATTATTGCACGAAAAATGGAAAAAAAAATATTGAGTGAAAAGGCACCTGTTAACCGGTGCCAAAATAAGCTGACAGTCTGCCACCAAAAAAAAAACGCGGGAGTTTATTTTAGGCACCGGTTAACCGGTGGCCAAAACAATTAAAGGCATCGGTTAACCGGTGCCCAAACAGGTTTAGGGCACCGGTTTTTAACCGGTGCCAAAAAGTGGGTCAATTGGCACCCCCCACATAGAAAGCGGTTCAAACCGGTGCCTTAGACCGGGTTTGAACCGCTGCCAATTGCTCTTTTTCTACTAGTGGTCAAACATAGTAAAACAAAGCTTTTGAAAACAAATGGAATTCAAACACATTAAAAAAGCGCTTTGAATCAAATGAAAGTCAAACACATTGAAACAAAGCTTTTAGTATCGAATAAAATTCTAAACATTCAACGAAGCTAATTGAATTAAATGAAAGTCAAACCCATTCAAATAAATCTTTTTGAATCAAATGCAAGTCCAACACATTCAAACAAATCTTTATAAATCAAATGAACGTCAAACACATTTAAATAAAGCTTTTTTGATAAAATTAAAGTAAAACACATTTCAAGAAAGCTTTTTGAATAAAATGAAAGTCAAACACATTTAAAGAAAGCTTTTTGAATCAAATTCAAGTCAAACACATTCAAACAAATATTTTTAAATCAAAATGAAAGTCAATCACATTCTAACAAAGCTTTTTTAATTAAATTAAAGTCAAACATAGTTAAGCAAAGCTTTTTGAGTCAAATGAATCAAACACATTCAAACAAAGCGTTTCGAATCAAATGAAAGTCAAACACATTAAAACAAAGCTTTTAGAATCAAATAAAAGTCAAATGCAATCAACGAAGCTAATTGATTAAATGAAAGTCAAACGCATTCAAACAAAGCATTTTGAATCGAATGAAAGTCAAACACATTCAAACAAAGCCTTATAAATCAAATGAAAGTTAAACGCATTCAAACAAAGCTTTTTAAATCAAATGAAAGTCAACACATTTAAATCAAAACTTTTTTAATCAAATGAAAGTCAAACACATTCAAAGAAGACTTTTAGAATTGAATGAATCAAACACATTCAAAGAAATCTTTTTGAATAATATGAAGTCAAACACATTCAAATAAAGCTTTTAGAACGAATGAAAGTCAAATGCATTCGGCAAAGCTAATTGAGTCAAATAAAAGTCAAACACATTTAAACAAAGTTTTTTGTAACAAATAGAATTGAAACTCATCAAACAAAGCTCTTTGAATCAAGTGAAAGTCAAACACAATCAAACAAAGCGTTTAGAATTGAAAAAAAAGTCAAATGCATTCAACGAAGCTAATTTAAATAAATGAAAGTCAAACACAATCAATCAAAGCTTTTAGAATCAAATGAAAGTCAAACACATTAAAAAAAGCTTAATGAATTAAATGAAAGTGAAACACATTCAAACAAATCTTTTTAAATCAAATGATAGTCAAACACATTCAAACAAAGCTTTTTGAATCATATGAAAGTCAAAGACATTGAAACAATACTTTTTTAATCAAATGCATGTCAAACACATTCAAACAAAGATTTTTGAATGGAATGAAAGTCAAACACATTCAAACTAAGCTTTTTAAAACAAATGGAATTCAAACACTTCTAACAAAGTGCTTTAAATCAAATGAAAATGAAACACATTTAAACAATGCTTTTAAAATCAAATAAAAGTCAAATGTATTCAAGGAAAATAATTGAATTACATGAAAGTCAAATACATTAAAATAAAGCTTTTAGAATCAAATAAAAGTCAAACACATTCAACCAAATCTTTTTAAATCAAATGAAAGTCAAACTTATTCAAACAAAGCTTTTTCAATTACATAAAAGTAAAACACATTGAAATAAAGCTTTTTGAACCAAATGAAAATCAAACACATTCAAACAAGGTTTTTTAATTAAATGAAAGTCAAACACATTCAAACAAAGCTTTATTAATCAAATGAACGTTAAACTTATTCAAAAAAAGCTGTATGAATCAAATGAATCAAACACATTTAAACAAATCTTTTTGAATAGAATGAAACTAAAATTCATTTAACGAAGCTAATTGAATCAAATGAAAGTCAAATACACCAAAACAAAGCGTTTTGAATCAAATGAAAGTCAAATACATTCAAACAAATCTTTTTTAATCAAATTAAAAAAAACACATTCAAACAAATCTTTTTGAATCGAAAGAAAGTCGAACACATTCAAATAAAGCATTAAGAATTATGAAAGCAAAACACATTTAAAATGCTTTTTGAATCAAATGAAAGTCAAATACATTCAAACAAATCTTTTTAAATCAAATGAAAAAAATACATTCAAACAAATCTTTTTGATTCGAAAGAAAGTCAAATACATTCAAATAAAGCTTTATGAATGATGAAAGCAAAACACATTTAAAAAATGCTTTTTGAATCAAAGAAAATCAAACACATTCAAACAAATCTTTTTAAATCGAATGAAAGTCAAACACATTCAACCAAATCTTTTTAAATAAAATGAAAGTCAAACACATTCAAACAAAGCCTTTTGAATTACATAAAAGTAAAACACATTTAAACAAAGCTTTTTGAACCAATTGAAAATCAAACACATTCAAACAAGGTTTTTTAGTTAAATGAAAGTCAAACACATTCAAACAAAGCTTTATTAATCAAATGAAAGTCAAACTTATTCAAACAAAGCTTTTTGAATCAAATGAATCAAACACATTTAAACAAATCTTTTTGAATAGAAAGAAAAATGCATTTAACGAAGCTAATTGAATCAAATGAAAGTCAAATACACCAAAACAAAGAGTTTTGAATCAAATGAAAGTCAAATACATTCAAACAAATCTTTTTAAATCAAATTAAAAAAAACACATTCAAAAAAATCTTTTTGAATCAAAAGAAAGTTCAACACATTCAAATAAAGCATTATGAATTATGAAAGCAAAACACATTTAAAAAATGCTTTTAGAATAAAATGAAAGTCAAATACATTCAAACAAATCTTTTTAAATCGAATGAAAAAAAATACATTCAAACAAATCTTTTTGAATCGAAAGAAAGTCAAACACATTCAAATAAAGCTTTATAAATGATGAAAGCAAAACACATTTAAATAATGGTTTTTGATTCAAATGAAAATCAAACACATTCAAACAAATCTTTTTAAATCAAATGAAAGTCAAACACATTCA